CCTAGTCATAGTCGGTGTAGGATGATTTCTTCGCACCGGTTGATCCTCGTTGAGGAGTCTCATTGTCCTATATTCTCATTTACCGTTTTCAGTGTTGTATGAGGTCCGTGCCCATGCCAGATTTTGTTGAAAGAATTTCTTATAGCGGAGTGCAAAGTCGGTAAGTACCCTCTGTAGCCTACTTGGGTTTCAAGTATTTCGTTGAACAGCAATGCCGCCTTGCCTGCGCATCTGCTATTTTATTTCCTACCATACCGCAGTGACGTGGAATCCACATGATTGTAATCCCGAACCCTTTTTCTAGTAAACGGTGCGAGGTTTCAAAAATATTTATCATCACTGGATGGTTAGAAGTCTAATTTTTCAGTGCAGTGACCACCGACAAAGAATCAGTACATTTTACACGCTTCGGGATGCCCTTGCTTTCCACATATTCATTGCCTGGGATATAGCCACGGCTTCAGCAACAAACACTGAACACTTTCCTGGCAGTTTAAACCGAGCATAGCTTTCTACGTGGACGTAGGCACCGCCCACTCCCTCAGTAGTTTTTGCACCGTACGTAAGATAATATAAGTAAAATCAGGGGTATCCACTCTTAGCTCACAAAAGTAATTTTGCATTTGATGTACATTCAGAGCACTCTTATTTTCATTTGTGAATTTTTAGGTTTCACATTTGCGTAGCTTCCAAAGTGGTATGAAACCTTTCTTTGTCTCTAAGTCATGAGAGAAGCGAATTATATCTCGTTACATATGCTTGCCATTCTTTCGTACCGTAGAAACCAGAGATTCTTTTCATATATTCCCTTTCCACTTGGTGTAAAGAAGTCCTTTCAGTGGTATGTCTCTGACACAGATGATTGTCCTCGCCTCGTGCCTCCATGCAGTATCTTATTGTCATTCATGTCGTCGCAATCGAAGGGGAAGAATTTCTGTTTCAACTGTAATGGAAGGATAGGCGAAGTCGTCAACGCCCCCGTTGCTATACGTAAGCACGCATTTTGAACACATTCTAATCACTCGATCGCTGTGGTATTTGGCCCATCTAGCACAGGGCATGCGTACTCCGAAATGGGCCTGATCATTGCTTTGTACATGCTTAGGAGGGTGGTTCTATCAGCGCCACATCCTCGGCCTGCCAGACATTTTAGAATTGATATTCGTTTTAAAGCCCTTGCCTTGGTGTACTCAATATTTTTGTTCAAGTTGAATCTGGAGTCCAACATGACCCCTAGAAATTTTATTTCTTCAGAGCAAGTCACAGGCTGATCATAAATCTTGAGTTTCGATTTATTCCTTAATTCTCGCTCCTTCATAAACCGTCTAAAAATAATACCATTGCACTTAGGTGGCGAAAAATAAACCCTCATTTGTCTGCCCAGGCACAAACACGATCCAGTGCTGTCTGCATTCTCTCCATTAATGGCATAATCTTTTTCCTTGCACCCACGTTGTACAGTCGTCAGCATACAGCCCGTTGGACATATTTCTGGTGGCATCATTGAAAATGTCGTTTTCCATAATGTTGAACAGAATAGGGGATATCACCCCCCTGCACAAGCCAATTTTCTTGTTCGCATGTGTTAGAGAGTACACCGCATTTCACCTGAAAGGTTCTACCATCTAGATAACCTTAGGTAATGCATTAAGTGTCCTCGGAAACCAAGTTGGTACATTTTCGTCAGGAGTGCCACCTTTGATATCAGGCTATATGCGCTCTTTAAATCAAGGAAGACCGCTAATGTATATCTGTGGTAAAAAAAAACACTTCTGACCTCAGACTCCAGTCGATTAGGTGCTCAGACGTGCATCTTTCCTTCCCAAAAACACATTGATACTCTGATATCATATTGTTATTTTTATGTACCATGAAAGTCTTTTGGCCACCACCCTTTCCATTAATTTACTGAAACACGACGTCAGCTGAATCGGTCTATATTATTCAGGTTTATCGCCCGGTTTGCCAGGTTTCGTAATTAGAATAATAATGGAGTGTTTCCACTGGGCTGGAAAGCTTTCCGAACCCCATATATAATTAAACATTTTTAAAACTTCCTCTAATTGTCACTCATATGCTTGAGAAAGCATAATAGATTTTATCTGGGCATATCGAAGTGTTTCCACACAATGTAATGGATTGCTGGGGCCCATCCATGGTGAAAACGCGTTATATACTTCATTATCGTCAGAAGAAAAGTTTGGCATTTCTTGCAGCATTCATTTTAACGATTCCTAAATCTTGGCCGGTAGTTTTGGGAAGCACAATTATTGGAGAAATGTCTCTCCAGCACATTTGCTACCTCCTCAGGGTCATCAATAATAGCACCATCAATGTTCAAAACAGGTAGCGGTCTTTGTGACCTCTTTTTCTCGTAAATCTGCGTATAACACCCTACAGCTGTTGTACAGGAGTGGTGTACTTGAATACATGCAAAAGTTTTCTCACGAGTTCTTTTCGACGTTACGAATAGCCTGCCTGGCCTTTTTGCTTTAGCTTGCTCGTATTCCATTAGGTGGACAGTCTGTCGACTCCGTCTAAATCGGTTTGATTTCATGAATTTGACATGAATCATGCCGATTTTACGACTTCGAGTAGCGCCTTTGCACTCAGCTACAGACATATGGAATACAGCACCGCGCGTGTGAGATTGTCAGGCCGTGCGCCATAGTGGCTATCACGTCTTGAAGAAGGTAAATACGCTACCGCATCCATAAGCTTGTCGGGTCGCATACTGTAGTGGCAATCACGTCTTGAGGAAGGTAAATACACTACCGCATTCATAAGATTGTCATGCCGTACACTTTAGTGGCAATCATGTCTCGAAGAAGGTAAATACGCTACCGCATGCATGGGATTGTCAGGCCGTGGCCTATAGGGGTAATCACGCCTTGAGGAAGGTAGAAACAGTACCGTATGCACAAGATTATCAGACCGTGCACTATAGAGACTCACGTTTTGAGGAAGGCTCTGCTGAATGTGACTGCCTTTGAACAGAGGTCTGTGTGCTCAGGCTTCTCCCAGCCAGAGTCGACTGGCCGCAGGCCCAGGATGTTGATCGAAAATAATGTCATGGTAACATTGCACTCTTCTTGTCCGTGATTTGCATCATCTTTGTGCAAACAAGAGCACAGCGTTTGTAATTTATCCTAAGTGAGGTATATTGGGGTACTCTGAAAATCAGCGCACGGTACTAGCGCCGTGTTAGCTGCGCTGTCTCAACAAATGCACGGTTTGTTGCGGGCGAGGCGGTCCGGTAGCCCATCTCGGATGTTATGCACATCCTCAGTCAGAGCGCACTCCTCTAATGCCCACCAGTGACGTCTTCCGTCCTGACGTCACTGCCTTGACGGACCGCC